TAGCAGCAGCAGCAACAGCGGTAGCAGCAACAACAACAGCGGTAGCAGCAACAGCAACAGCGGTAGCAGTAGCAGCAACAGCGGTAGCAGCAGCAGCAACAGCGGTAACAGCAACAGCGGTAGCAGCAGCAGCAACAGCGGTAGCAGCAACAGCAACAGCGGTAGCAGCAGCAGCAACAGCGGAAGCAGCAACAGCGGTAGCAGCAGCAGCAACAGCGGTAGTAGCAACAGCGGTAGCAGCAGCAGCAACAGCGGTAGCAGCAGCAGCAACAGCGGTAGCAGCAACAGCAACAGCGGTAGCAGCAGCAGCAACAGCGGAAGCAGCAACAGCGGTAGCAGCAGCAGCAACAGCGGTAGTAGCAACAGCGGTAGCAGCAGCAGCAACAGCGGTAGCAGCAGCAACAGTGGTAGCAGCAACAACAACAGCGGTAGCAGCAACAACAACAGCGGTAGCAGCAGCAGCAACAGCGGTAGCAGCAACAGCAACAGCGGTAGCAGCAGCAGCAACAGCGGTAGCAGCAGCAGCAACAGCGGTAGCAGCAACAACAACAGCGGTAGCAGCAGCAGCAACAGCGGTAGCAGCAACAACAACAGCGGTAGCAGCAGCAGCAGCAACAGTGGTAGCAGCAGCAGCAACAGCGGTAGCAGCAACAACAGCGGTAGCAGCAGCAGCAGCAACAGCGGTAGCAGCAGCAGCAACAGCGGTAGCAGCAACAGCAACAGCGGTAGCAGCAGCAGCAACAGCGGTAGCAGCAGCAGCAACAGCGGTAGCAGCAGCAGCAACAGCGGTAGCAGCAACAACAACAGCAGCAACAGCGGTAGCAGCAGCAGTAACAGCGGTAGCAGCAGCAACAGCGGTAGCAGCAGCAACAGCGGTAGCAGCAGCAGCAACAGCGGTAGCAGCAGCAGCAACAGCAGCAACAATATGAGTAACAACAACAACAGCAGCAGCCAAATGTGACAAGAAAATCCATCATAACCGCAAATGCACGCATCCGCTTCATACATGGAAAACAAAAGGCAGGAGCCACAGCAGAGTGCCGCTGTGACCATGCAGCCCAAACTACGAACCACAGGGCCACGTAGAGATACATAGAGACTCATGGAGATACGTAGAGACTCATAGAGATACATAGAGACTCACAGAGATACATAGAGACTCACAGAGATACATAAAGATTCATAGAGACACGTACTAACTCATAGAGATACATAACGACACAGAGAGATAAATAGTGACTCATAGAGACACACAGAGACACACAGAGATACATAAAGATACATAGAGACTCATAGAAATATATAGTGACCCATAGAGATACACAGAGACACACAGAGATACACAGAGACACACAGAAACACAGAGACACACAGAGATACATAGAGATGCATAGAGACTCATAGAGATACATAGAGACTCATAGAGATACATAGAGACAGTGATATACATAGAGACTCATAGAGATACATAGAGACTCATCGAGATACGTAGTGACCCATAGAGATACACAGAGACACAAAGAGACACAGAGACACACAGAGATACACAGACACACACAAAGATACACATAGATACACAGAGACACACAGAGATAAATAGTGACTCATAGAGATACACAGAGACACACAGAGATACACAGAGACACACAGATACACAGAGATAAATAGTGACCCATAGAGATACACAGAGACTCACAAAGATACACAGATACACATAGAGATACACAGAGACACATAGAGATCCAACGAAGCGGGCAGGGGAGAGTGCTCCAGCAGAGAGAGAGAGAGAGTTCGTGTCGTGTCGCTGTTCCTCCCCCTCTCTTGAAGGAGCGCAGACCCCCCACAGTGGGTTCACTGTGCGACCCATAGCTTGGCTTGAGTACACGTTATGCACGTGTGTGCATTCGTGTATGCTCGTGTTTGTGTGTACGTGTGTTTGTGTCTGCGCGTGTTTGTGTGTACGTCTGTTTGTGTCTGCGCGTGTTTGTGTGTACGTGTGTTTGTGTCTGCGCGTGTTTGTGTGTACGTGTGTTTGTGTCTGCGTGTGTTTGTGTGTACGTGTGTTTGTGTCTGCGTGTGTTTGTGTGTACGCGTGTTTGTGTCTGCGCGTGTTTGTGTGTACGCGTGTTTGTGTCTGCGCGTGTTTGTGTGTACGTGTGTTTGTGTTTACGTGCTCAAATGAGTACCTGGTGCGGTGTGCAAACGTTGCCACTAGGGGAGACAAAGGCGAGCGGGCGTGGTGCTGGTCACCCACCCCCTCGTGTAAATCTAAAACTAAACAAACATTTTTATTTTTTTTCTAGATTTGAAGCTTTCGTGACTGCAAGGATTCATACTCTTAGGTTTTATCGGTAAAGTCACGTAGGTAAGAAATAATAAAAAATTAATAATATCAATAATAATATTAAAAAAATAATTATTTAGAAATAAATTAGTTATTTAGAAATAAAATAATTAGTTTATTTCTATTATTTATTTTTATTATTATTTTTAGCTACGTGACTTTACCGAAAAAACCTAAGAGTATAATTTGTATTTTACCAGGTAGGGCCCACTGAGCTATATAGCTCTTTTCAGAAGCGACCTGGCCACAGATGATAGCTCAACGGAGTGGGCTTAGCACGTGTTCATGAACAGCAGCCAAATGCTCTAAACGCGTGATGTCGATTCTTAATGTGGAAGGAAAAACCGGAGGACCCAGAGAAAAATCCACACGTTCACGGGGGGAGAAAGAGACACTGCAAACTACAAATATACAGCAGCAGGCGTCAGGGTCGGAATTGAACCCACGAACTCAGGCCGAGGCAGCTAACATCTCACCACCGTCATCGATGTTCGCTAAAAGTATTTGCCCCAAAAGAATATTAAGGCTATACGGGGGATCTTTGTCTTGTTGTGGGGAGTGGTAGTGCAGTGCTCAGGGCGCCGCGCTACGGTTCCCGCTCACAGCCATTATCAGGGGGCGAATATCTGAATCGGGTCTGGGCATCGCCTAGGTCGACTCAGCCATAAATGAGTAACAGGGAGAGAGAATGCGTCAGGCTTCTCAATGGTCTAACACCACCGCGGGTCTGATGAGACGCTCAGAGTGAAAACCCGGTCCGAAGTTGAAACCAATATTTCTGAAATTATGCAGAAATATTGGTTTCAACTTCGGACCGGGTTTTCACTCTGAGCGTCTCATCAGACCGGCGGTGGTGTTAGACCATTGAGAGCCTGACGCATTCTCTCTCCCTGTTACTCATTTATGGCTGAGTCGACCTAGGCGATGCCCAGACCCGATTCAGATATTCGCTCCCTGATAATGGCAGTGGAGCTGATGTGATGTGTAATTTTTCTAAATGTTTTAAAATGTTCTTCTGTAGAGGGGTGGATATGTTTTTGCTCGTTTATAATATCACATGTGCGTTCGTATAGAAACTGGCACAGTGCATGCGGTGTTCGTTACGTTTGCGTGTTTGGAATATGTTATTACTGTACGCAAGGACGTTGCGAATCACTACATCAGTCTGAGCCGATGATAATTACAGTAATAATTATTAATAATAATGTCTACTGCACAGTTCTACAATTAATTATTGATAATCATTATCATTTGCTTTTGATTACGCCTGCACGGTTCTCCGATGTGGGGGTTTCGTTTCCCGTTGAAGTGGGAGTCTTACTCGCGAGTGGGAGTCTTACTCGCGAGGTGGAGTTTGCCGGGACCACGTGGTAGCCCAGCACCATTGCCGTTCTAAGCAATCTCGGCACCGCTGATGAGACCTACGAGGTCGAAACCGGTGCACGGTTTGCTCCCTTAAATATCGGTGGGCGTGCAACGGTGGAGCGTGTGTGCGTGTGTGTGTGCGTGATTGTGTGTGTGTATGTGTGTGATTGCGTGTATATGTATGTGTGCGCGTGTGTGTGCGTGTGTATGTGCGTGTGTGTGTGTGTGCGTGTGCGTGTGTGATTGTGTGTGTGTGCGTGTGTGTGTGATTGTGTGTGTGTACGTGTGTGTGATTGTGTGTGTGCGTGTGTGTGCGTGTGTATGTGTGTGTGATTGTGAGTGGGGGAGCGGTGGTGTAGCGGTTAGCGCCACGCTGCGCTACGAACCCTGGCCACGCGAGTTCGATTCCCGCTCAAGGCCAACACCAGTGACGATTATCTCAACCGGTCTTGGGCCTCTCCTAGGTCGACTCAGCCTCAAATGAGTACCTGGTGCTGTGCGTAAAAACATCGCCACTGGGGAGACAAAGGTGGCTGGGCGTGGTGTTGGCCACCCACCCCCTCGTGTGCCGTGCCGGCCTTCATAGGTGCTCGCTAACCGCACTTGCCCTTACAGTCTGTTAAGGGTTACACGGGGGATCTTTGTCTTGTTTTGTATATGTGGGTGACAGGGTCGGATATGAAGCAGTTCTGGGCCTCCCCTAGGTCGAATCAGCCTCAAAGAGTTCCACTAGGGGAGACAAAGGCTGCTCCCACGTATGCCAGTGCCGACCTTCATAGGCGCTCGCTATCAACACTTGCACCAAATGTCTGTTAAGGCTACACGGGGGGTCTTTGTATAGGTGTGTGCGCGAAATTACGTGTGTGAGTGTGTGACTATGTCAGTGTGAGTCTGACTGTGAGTGTGATTGTATCAGTGCGAGTGTGACCACGTGACTGTGTGAGTGTGACCACGTGACTGTGTGAGTGTGAAATCCCTCACGACCCCGCGGTCAACCCCGACACAGCCCCTCCCCTCCGCAGGGGGTCCCTACAGGTCAAGGGTTCTGGGGTCAAAGGCCTCCCCCCACCGTCCCCCACCCCCACCACTCTCCTCCAATTCCACCCCCGCCACCCCTTCTCCTCCTCCTCCCCCGCCGCGGGGCCAAAAGTGCAACGCAATCGGCGGAGAGACAAAGACGGATGGGGGGGCTGCCCGTGTCCCCTGCGTGAACCCGCTCCGTCATCCCCGGCGTGACGGGGGGCGAGGAACGGCGCCCCCCCCCCCGCGTCCCCCCCGGGGCTCCGTGCAGGTGACGCGGGGCGCGGAGCGGAGAGAGAGCGGAGCGGTGAGGGGCGTGGAGCGGGGAGAGGGAGCGTGGAGAGAGAGAGAGAGGGTGGAGCAGAGATAGGGTGGAGGGGAGAGAGAGGGTGGAGTGGAGAGAGCGTGGAGCAGAGAGAGGGTGGAGAGAGAGAGGGTGGAGTGGGGAGAGCGTGGAGTGGAGCAGAGAGAGAGAGAGAGAGGGTGGAGCAGAGAGAGAGAGAGGGTGGAGCAGAGAGGGAGGGTGGAGAGGAGAGAGAGAGAGGGTGGAGTGGAGCAGTGAGAGAGGGTGGAGTGGAGAGGGTGGAGTGGAGCACTGAGAGAGGGTGGAGAGAGAGAGGGTGGAGTGGAGTGGAGAGGGCGGAGTGGAGAGGGTGGAGTGGAGAGGGTGGAGAGAGAGAGGGTGGAGTGGAGTGGATGGATTGGAGAGGGTGGAGTGGAGCAGTGAGAGAGGGTGGAGTGGAGAGGGTGAAGTGGAGCAGGTACAGAGGGTGGAGTGGAGAGAGGGTGGCGCAGAGAGAGAGAGAGAGAGTGGAGCAGTGAGAGAGGGTGGAGTGGAGAGAGTTCAGAGCGCGGAGCGGAGCAGCAGTCGTCCATCACGAGCGATGTGCAGGCGGCACCGCTCCCACAGCCCTCTCACGACTCGTGCGGCACGCGCTGAGTCCCCACTCGCTGACTCCCGACTCGCTGCGTTGCGGGTGCAGCGAGCGAGACCTGAATGGATTTGCTGCTTCTCGACAAGGGGGTGGAGAGCGCGTGGGGGGGGGGGGGTGAGAATTCCCCTCCACGCTGCTTGCTCGCAAATCCACACCTCGTGGGTTCGCCTCCATCTCCCGGCGGGTGTGTTGAGAACGGCTGGAGACAGCGTGCTTGCTGTCTGTGCATTCGTCACGACTTCGATTCACACTCCAAGCGGCGAGCGCTTCCTGACTTTCAGAAGCAGCAATCGACTCTGGAAAACGGTTACCGGTTTATTGGTTGTTCACTCACCCACTGATGTCAGCCGTGGCCGAGGAATCGAACTGTGCTGCGAGGTTCGTGGCATCGTGCGCGAAGCACCAAATAGCAACACAAATATCTCCCCCCCCCCCACCCCCGTAGGAAGGCCGGAACGGCACGCGTAGGGGCTGGGTGGCCAACATCACGCACGACCGCATTTGTCTCCCCAGTGGCGATGTTTACACGTCGCGTCAGGTACTTATTTGAGGCTGAGCCGACCTAGCGGAGGCCCGGCACCGGTTCAGATAATCGTCACTGGTGTTGGTGGCCGCGAGCGGGATTCGAACTCGGCTCGCCGGGTTTGTAGCGTAGCGCGCTAACCGCCGCACCACCGCTCCCCCACACCTCTCTCTCTCCTACCTCTCCGCTCTCCCCTTTATCTCTTCCCTTTATCTACCCTCTGTCTCCCCCCTCTCCCCCCTCTCGCCCTCTCTCTCTCTCGTCCCTATCTCTCCTCCCTCCATCTCATTTAAATCGTCTCTGTCTCCCATCTCTCTCCCATCTCTCTTCTCCAGACCTCACCTCTGGCTCTTTCGCCCTCTCTCGTCTTCCCCCTCCCCCCTATCTCCTCTACCCCTCTTTACCCTGTCTCTCACCCCTACCACCCCCTCGCCTCCCTACCCCATACTCCCCGTGCCCCCCCCCCTCCATTCCCGGCATCATTAATATTTCCGTGACTTTGACGCCACGCGGCTCTGTGTGCGCTTTGAGTGCCAGTGGCCGCTTTTGAGAGTCGCGTCAGTTTAATCTTTAATCGCGGCGGGGGTCACTCCGTGTCCCCCCTTGTCCCCCTGTGTCTCCCCCCCCCTCCTCGTCCCCTACCCCCCTCGTGTCTCCCCCGCCACCACCACCACCACCACTCCCTGTCTCCCCAGTTTTCTTCGTTCCCAGGCCGAGACACAAAGCGTGGCCAGTGTTTGACCCCTCCAACCCAGACTCCTGCTCCCGTCTGTCGCCTCATTAGCATGCGGGGATACCAATACGAGTGGGAGTGAGAGCGGGGGGAGGGGGAGGGTGCACACAGGGGGTAAGGGGTTCGTGTCTAATCATGGCACGCATCATCAAAAGTATCACCAGCAGCCACGATTGGTCCACTGCTGGATGAAGGCCTCTCTCAAAGCCGTCGCCACCTCTCGCGCTCCGACGATGTAAGACTCCACTTAGCACGCACACACGAACTGATTTTTAACGGTATAACAACGACCACGTGGCATACGTCTACCACGTGACGTAAAAACTGTGACGTGGCTTAATACTACCACGTGACATAAAACTAGCACGCAGCATAAAACGATCACGTGGCTTTAAACGATGACGTGGCATAATACTACCACGTGACATAAAACTGCCACGTGGTTTACAACTATGACGTCAGAAATAAAACTACCACGTGGCATAAAAATATGACGTGAGAAATAAAACTACCACGTGGTTTAAAACGATGACGTGGCTTAATACTACCACGTGACATAAAACTGCCACGTGTTTACAACTATGACGTCAGAAATAAAACTACCACGTGGCATAAAAATATGACGTGAGAAATAAAACTACCACGTGGCACAACATTAACACGCAGCCTAACCCAATAAAACAAATGATGGATCAATGCAGCGCTGCGTTTTCCCAGTGGTGTTCCTCCCACAAATGTCATCGTTTTCGTCAAGTAAACTTGTTGTAGACGACTTTTGTTGTTGTGCTCATTAATATCGCGAGCCTTACTCTGCGGCCTTATTTACAATGGTTTCACAATCCTGCTATCCTGTATTAAATAAATACATATTGGTGATGCACTCTACTTGCCCACCCTCTTAGTGTGACGTGAAGAAGGGCCATTGTCCAAAACGTCGCCTGATTTTCGTAATCTTGCCCTGTAATTGTATATGCTATGGTTCTTTCGGTAAAGTCACGTAAATAGAAAAAATAATAACAATAAAATAAAAAGATAAAGTGAATAAAAACAAGCGGTGTTGCTATTGAAACGTCGTGATATTTGTATTCACTTAATTTTTATTATGTTATTGTTATTTTTTTTTCTATCTTCGTGACTTTACCGAAAGAACCATAGAATATGAATTCCTGCAGTCACGAAATTTTGAAGTCGAAAATTCATGCACCGTAAATACATTCCCATTGGATGCAATCCCGACTACGTCCATCGAACCACATCTGAGATGGTTAATGTCTCCTAAACTTGGCGTATTCCTTCCTGGTTCTAAATCCAATGTTCGGAAAACATCTCATTTAATGGAAGCCCTACACCGAGATTAAAGTTGCAAAGTACGAACGCCTCGGGGAAACCTACGGAAATCCATCCACTCGTTTTGGAACAGTCGATGCAGTTACCAAAGCTCTCACTAAAAAATAACAACAACAACAACAACAACAGGTAAACGAATGGCTAACGATGGCGATGATGATCATCTAGAAACGATTTAAGAATGAAAAAGTATTGCAAAGGTGAATCGGCTACGCCACATGCAGCAACGTAGCCAAATTCGTGTCAAAATGAGAGGTGGCAGAGAGGGCGACTCGCTCAACCCGCAGCGAATCACAGCGACATTGGAAGCATTAGGGGGCGATTAGAAGTCGGGTCAGGTCAATTAAGGTCAGGTCACGTGAGGTCATGTCGGGTCAGCTGACGTTCGGTCAGGCTGGTGGGGGAGGGGTAAGAGTTGGGGGGGGGGCAGTTGGATGCCCTCTCAACTAACCCCGACTCTCGGACAGCGACAGCGAAGGCTCATAACTCACGCGGTGGAGAGCAAACACAGCGAGTGAGAGAGAGAGAGGGGAGACGCGAGAGAGAGAGAGACGGAGAGAGAGACAAAGAGGGAGGAGGGGGGTGATAGAGGAGGTGAAGGTGGAGACACAGAGGGATGGGAGAGAGAGACGAGACAGAGGAGGAGATGGGAGAGAGATAGCCAGGCACGGGGAGACGATCGGAGAGTGATGGAGACACGAGAAGAGAGATGGGGAGAAGGGGTGGAGGGGCGGAGGGAGGGGGGGGTGAAGGGGGGTGGGGGGGTTGGCGACACAACTTGAGAAACTTTTCGTGTCTCTCGTTGTCGTGCGAAGGGCGACCCCCAAACCAAGTTCACTCGGGGTGCGCCTCGAGTGGAGATCACCAGTGACACCGAGGGGGTAGCAGAGGGGACCCTCCCTCGCAGGGGTCTAGGGGACAGGACCCCGAGGGGATGATAGGGGATAGACCCCGCGAGGGGACGCTGGGAGCGTGTGGATGTCCTCGCCTCCCGTGTCGCCTTTCTCTCCGCCTCCTGCCGTCACGCGTCCTGAAGCAGGTGGGTTGAGTGGTGAGTTTAGTAGCGGTGTTGGTGAGCTGTGGGTGAGTTTAGTAGCGGTGTTGGTGAGTTGTGGGTGAGTTTAGTAGCGGTGTTGGTGAGCTGTGGGTGAGTTTAGTGGCAGTGTTGGTGAGTTGAGTGGTGAGTTTAGTAGCGGTGTTGGTGAGTTGTGGGTGAGTTGTGGGTGAGTTTAGTAGTGGTGTTGGTGAGCTGTGGGTGAGTTTAGTGGTGAGTTTAGTGCCGGTGTTGGTGAGCTGTGGGTGAGTTTAGTGGCGGTGTTGGTGAGTTGAGTGGTGAGTTTAGTAGCGGTGTTGGTGAGCTGAGTGGTGAGTTTAGTGGTGAGTTTAGTGGCGGTGTTGGTGAGTTGTGGGGTGAGTTTAGTAGCGGTGTTGGTGAGTTGTGGGTGAGCTGTGGGGTGAGTTTAGTGGCGGTGTTGGTGAGTTGAGTGGTGAGTTTAGTAGCTGTGTTGGTGAGTTGAGTGGTGAGTTTAGTGGCGGTGTTGGTGAGTTGTGGGTGAGTTTAGTAGCGGTGTTGGTGAGTTGTGGGTGAGTTTAGTAGCGGTGTTGGTGAGTTGTGGGTGAGTTTAGTAGCGGTGTTGGTGAGTTGTGGGTGAGCTGTGGGGTGAGTTTAATACCGGTGTTGGTGAGTTTAGTGGTGAGTTTAGTGGCGGTGTTAGTGAGTTTAGTGGTGAGTTTAGTAGCGGTGTTGGTGAGTTGTGGGTGAGCTGTGGGTGAGTTTAGTAGCGGCATTGGTGAGTTGCGTGGTGAGTTTAGCGCCGGAGTTGGTGAGTTGAGTGGTGAGTTTAGTAGCGGTGTTGGTGAGCTGAGTGGTGAGTTTAGTAGCGGTGTTGGTGAGTTGAGTGGTGAGTTTAGTAGCGGTGTTGGTGAGTTGAGTGGTGAGTTTAGTAGCGGTGTTGGTGAGTTGAGTGGTGAGTTTAGTAGCGGTGTTGGTGAGCTGAGTGGTGAGTTTAGTAGCGGTGTTGGTGAGTTGAGTGGTGAGTTTAGTAGCGGTGTTGGTGAGTTGAGTGGTGAGTTTAGTAGCGGTGTTGGTGAGTTGAGTGGTGAGTTTAGTAGCGGTGTTGGTGAGTTGAGTGGTGAGTTTAGTAGCGGTGTTGGTGAGTTGAGTGGTGAGTTTAGTAGTGGTGTTGGTGAGTTGAGTGGTGAGTTTAGTAGCGGTGTTGGTGAGTTGAGTGGTGAGTTTAGTAGCGGCGTTGGTGAGCTGCGTGGTGAGTTTAGTACCGGTGTTGGTGAGTTGAGTGGTGAGTTTAGTAGCGGTGTTGGTGAGTTGAGTGGTGAGTTTAGTAGCGGTGTTGGTGAGTTGAGTGGTGAGTTTAGTAGCGGTGTTGGTGAGTTGAGTGGTGAGTTTAGTAGCGGTGTTGGTGAGTTGAGTGGTGAGTTTAGTAGCGGTGTTGGTGAGCTGAGTGGTGAGTTTAGTAGCGGCGTTGGTGAGCTGCGTGGTGAGTTTAGTAGCGGTGTTGGTGAGTTGAGTGGTGAGTTTAGTAGCGGTGTTGGTGAGCTGAGTGGTGAGTTTAGTGGCGGTGTTGGTGAGTTGAGTGGTGAGTTTAGTAGCGGTGTTGGTGAGCTGAGTGGTGAGTTTAGTACCGGTGTTGGTGAGTTGAGTGGTGAGTTTAGTAGCGGTGTTGGTGAGTTGAGTGGTGAGTTTTGTAGCGGTGTTGGTGAGTTGAGTGGTGAGTTTAGTAGCGGTGTTGGTGAGTTGAGTGGTGAGTTTAGTAGCGGTGTTGGTGAGCTGAGTGGTGAGTTTAGTAGTGGTGTTGGTGAGTTGAGTGGTGAGTTTAGTAGCGGTGTTGGTGAGTTGAGTGGTGAGTTTTGTAGCGGTGTTGGTGAGTTGCGTGGTGAGTTTTGTAGCGGTGTTGGTGAGTTGAGTGGTGAGTTTAGTAGCGGTGTTGGTGAGCTGAGTGGTGAGTTTAGTAGCGGTGTTGGTGAGTTGAGTGGTGAGTTTAGTAGCGGTGTTGGTGAGTTGAGTGGTGAGTTTAGTAGCGGTGTTGGTGAGTTGAGTGGTGAGTTTTGTAGCGGTGTTGGTGAGTTGAGTGGTGAGTTTAGTAGCGGTGTTGGTGAGTTGAGTGGTGAGTTTAGTAGCGGTGTTGGTGAGCTGAGTGGTGAGTTTAGTAGTGGTGTTAGTGAGCTGAGTGGTGAGTTTAGTAGCGGTGTTGGTGAGTTGAGTGGTGAGTTTTGTAGCGGTGTTGGTGAGCTGAGTGGTGAGTTTAGTAGCGGTGTTAGTGAGCTGAGTGGTGAGTTTAGTAGCGGTGTTGGTGAGTTGAGTGGTGAGTTTAGTAGCGGTGTTGGTGAGTTGAGTGGTGAGTTTAGTGGCGGTGTTGGTGAGCTGCGTGGTGAGTTTAGTATTGGAGAGGGTCGTGCTGTAATGCCCCAAGTTGCGTCTACATCGGTTGAATTGAAATTTGAAAAAAAAATTGAAAATTTTCTTGCTGTGGTTTTCACACCTGATGATGATTGCTTGTGTTGCAATCGAAACGTCGTGAGAATGTTATTGTTTTATTTTTATTATTTTATTATTTCCCTTCTACGTGACTTTACCAAAAGAACCAAGAAGATGAATCCCTGCAGTCACGAAAGTTTAAAATCGAGATTCGATAGTTGTTGAGTTGATGGGGTGTTGAATTGGTGAGTTGGTGAGTTTTATTTTTAAGTTGGTGAGTTGAAGTTGTTCAGTCTACGAATTGTTCGGTTGATGAGTTGCGAAGTTGATTTGTTGTTGAATTGAGTTGTTGAATGGATGAGTTGTTGAATTAAGTTGTCAGTTGCTGAATCTCAGTATGCCCCAACGATTTATATTTACATATTTTTTGTATTATGCTATCATGCATCATACACTACATCACACGTACGTACACGCACATTATTCACAGGTACACATAAGACACACAAACCGCAAATATTAATCATAATAATAACAACAACAATAATGGGTTTATTCACTGACAGGAAATTACCAGGAACACGTGTTTTCGTTGTTGTGAACTATTGTGGAAGATCGCTGGGAACAGCAGCAGCACCAGTGTCGGATTATGGTACTGTAGTAGCAAAAGTAGTAGCTACAACACGTGTAGTAGCTACACATGTAGTAGCTACAAATGTAGTAGCTACACGTGTAGTAGCAAAAGTAGTAGCTACAACACGTGTAGTAGCTACACATGTAGTAGCTACAAATGTAGTAGCTACACGTGTCGGAGCTACGGGCCACGCACTTTCAAGGGCCCCACGCTAAATGCTTTCAAGCTATCAATTCCGGTTCAGTGATTCTGCATTTGCTCTATTACTATAGTACTATGCCGCCTTCAACTTTTACGAACGACTGCGTGTATAAGCTTAGCGATTTGTCGTATTATCTGGCTGTATAGCAAATGAAAAAATACAATAACTTTCCTATGAAAGTAAAAAAATTGTGTTTTAATATTTACGTGTTTATTTATTTATTTAGGGCCCCTTTATAACAAATGCTACAGGCCCCGCACTAGCTTAGTCCGGCACTGAGCAGCAGCAGCTGTTTGCACACCGAGTGACCACAAATCGTTGCCACCTCAGTTCACATTGCGACCACGGATAGAAGACGGCAAGCAAAGTGATCTGAGAACCGATCCCGGACCTCCCCTAGCTCGACTCAGCCTCAAATGAGGACCCGCTTCAGTGTGTGGACGTTGGTGCCAGGGGAGACACACACAAAAAGTCATCCGAAGAGACTGATGGCAATCCCGACCGCTTTTGTCTTCCCAATGCCGATGTTCAAACGTGTAAGATTTTTTTACCTCTGCATATTCATAGCGCGCGTGTGTGTGTGCACACACACATACGTATGTGTGCATGTGTGCGTGTGTGCACACACACACGTATGTGTGCACGTGTGCGTGTGCGCACACACACACACACGTATGTGTGCATGTGTGCGTGTGTGCACACACACACGTATGTGTGCATGTGTGGAGCGGTGGCGTAGTGGTTAGTGACTCCACGAGTTCGATTCATGCTCACGGTCAACACCAGTGACGATCATCTTGAGCCGGTCCTGGGCCTCTCCCCACGTCGACTCAGCCCGGCGTGTAAACATCGCCACCGGGGAGACAAAGGCGGCCGGGCCTGGTGTTGGCCACCCACCTCCTCGTGCGCCGTGTCGGCCTTCAGCACTTGCCCTAACAGTCTGTTAGAGGCTATACAGGGGGTTCTGTCTCTGTACGTGTGTATGCTTCCGCCTCGCTCCGCCGTATTCATCCGTAACCTCGCCGCACTATTTTCGGTTACGTAACTCACGTAAACATTTCCGCGTACGGGCATTTTTTTTGGTAACATGATTTATGGGAGCGTTTCCGTAAAGTCGGGCTTCCGTAAGTCGGGCCTGCCGTAACCCGGGGACTGCCTGTACATAATATAATGTACACCGTAGAACATCACCGGCCAAAACAATGTAATTGTACCACTCCACGCCGTTGCGTCCTTCCTTCTGCGAGATCCGGACACTTGACTCCAGAGGCGCCGTTCTTGCAAACAACACCTGTCCACGATATCATCATCATCACCACCACCATCATCAACACCATCATCACCATCATCATCATCACCATCATCACCACCATCATCATCACCACCACCATCATCATCACCATCATCATCATCATCACCACCACCATCATCACCACCATCATCATCATCACCACCACCATCATTATCATCACCACCACCACCATCATTATCATCACCACCCGTATCATCATCACCACCATCATCATCCCCACCATCACCATCACCACCATCATTATCATCACCACCACCATCATTATCATCACCACCCGTATCATCATCACCACCACCATCAGCATCCCCACCATCACCATCACCACCATCATCATCATCATCACCACCATTATCATCACCACCACCATCTTCACCACCATCACCATCATTATCACCACCACCATCACCATCATCATTATCACCACCACCACCACCACCATCATTATCACCACCACCACCACCATCATCATCACCACCACCATCGCCACCACCATCACCATCATTATTACCACCATCATCATCACCACCACCACCAGCATCATCATCACCACCGGTATCATCATCACCACCGGTATCATCATCACCACCACCACCACCATCACCACCACCATCATCACCACCATCATCATCACCACCACCACCAGCATCATCATCATCATCACCACCACCACCACCACCATCATAATCATCATCACCACCACCACCACCACCACCAAAATCACCATCACTACCACCATCATCACCATCATCATCATCACCACCACCACCGTCATCACCACCGTCATCACCACCGCCATCACCACCACCAAATGATTGCCCATTTATGGTTCATTGTGATGATTTGTAACTGCAAGGCGCGTTGATGACGATCTGTAATTATGACGTGATAATGATTCTATCCGTGATCATTGTGATGACGATCATTATTGTTTGACGATAATGCGCCCGTGCTGAGCATCGGTTATTATCGGTAATTACAAGACGTCATAACGATCGCTGATGACGATGCCGTTTGTATGATTATGACGAAAATGATGTCACGTGGCGAATTAGCTCGGATGATCATGTTCGATTTCGATGATGATGATTGTTGTTAATGACCCGTGGTGGTGGCGATGATGATTGCAGAGTTGATCTATGATAAGGATTATGATGATGATGATTATTATTATGTGGCTATTGGCGATTGTCCCTGGTGACGTGCCGGCTTTCATTGGTGCTCGATGTGACAATGATGATCAGTATCGATGGTCTCTTGATGATGTTGATGATGTTGATGATGATGAGGACGTTAATGACGGCGCCTCTCGCCCAGAATTCGCAGACACGTGCACTCAGCTCAGTGTTTAATGTCGCTTTATTCATTATTCATGAGACCAACGCGCACATAAACAAAGAACATACGCGCGCACACACAGAAAGACGAGGAGCGCACATCATAAACATACACACAGACATACGAGCGCAACATACACAAAGCAAAAAAACACACACCAAGACAAAGATCCCCCGTGTAGCCTTTACAGACTGTAGGGGAAAGTGCTGTTAGCGAGCACCTATGAAGGCCGGCACGGCACACGAGGGGGTGGGTGGCAGCCACCACGCCCGGCCGCCTTTGTCTCTCCTTAGTGGTTATGTTTACGCATCACACCAGGTACTCATTTGAGACCGAATCGACCGAGGGGAGGCCCAGGACTGATTCAAATAGTCGTCACTCAGGTCGCCGGGTTCGAAGTGCAGTGCGCTAGCCACTACACTACCGCTCCCCACATACACACAGACACGCACACACGAGCGTCACACGTGTATATACACAAGATACACGGACAACACACACACACACGAGACACGCAAGACACACACACACACTCTCTTACGGGATTATTCACGCTCACCTGCATGCACGCGCACGCCTTTAAACACACGCCGACAAGAATCGGAGACATTTATACCCTGTCTGTGTCAGGGGCCGGGGGGGACGCGGGGTGGGGGTCTGTGCCAGGCTAGGTGTCTTTACACAAAACGGCATACTTCATATTGCAGAGTAATACTATTACAATTGCTACAACTAGTGTCTAACATCATCACCACCACCATCATCATCGTTTATTGTGACGCAGTCACTGTGGGATGCTCAGTTGTACCCACGTGATCGCGCTACACGTGGCCACGTGCTCACAACAACCAAGCGCCCCGAGTGGCAGCCTAAAGTAAACAACTATTCACAACAACAACAACAAACGACACCAACCAGCAAATAAATAACGAATAAGTTACAAGGGGCGGCCAATGCACTAATGTAACGCGCTATAGCGTTCTAACACTCACGCGCAAAAAATATCAACAAGTAACCAAACGCACGCCACTAAGTGGCGGCGACGTCACCACGGATCCTGGTGCCAGGCTAGGTGCACTTTGAGGCGATGCCGCATCCTCACACACGACACTCACAACCCTCGCAAACGCGAGCGAGACAACACTCACCTGGACTGTACTCGTACACGACACACATTGACAACACACTCACAGGGACACGCAAAGATCCCCTGGGTAGCCTCCACAGGCTGTTGGGGCAAGTGCTGTCAGCGAGCACAAGTCAACACACTCTCTCCGACGGCAGTATATGTCGTGTTTGGTGTGTTGTCCTTCCCCCCGCGCACCTCCGATTAGCACGGTTGGCTACGTACGGTGCGAAAGAAGTTCAACATGCCATACACAATAGTCGCGCACACTTATCGACACACACTCACGTACACCGACACGCACTCACACACGATCCGACAAACACTATCTCACACACGATCTGACAAACACCATCTCACACACAGCTTCCCAGGTAGCCTTCAACAGGCTTCCGGGGCAAGTGCTTTATTAGCGAGCATCTTGTGAACGCTGGCACGGCGCACCACGGGGTTGATGTGGCCAGCACCACGCCCGGCCGCCTTTGTCTCCCTGGCGCCCATGTTTATACGCGCGTTGAGTCGACCCCAGGACCGGTTCGGTTATTCGTCACTGATGTTGGCCGTGAGCGGGAACCCACCACCGAGGGTCGTCGGGTTCGTAGCGCAGTGCGCTAACCACTGCGCCACCACTCCGTACGCATACAATGACACACTCGCACAGACACACGCACTGACACACACACACCTCGTGTGACACAAGCACACTCGCGTACAAAGATACAGCTACCCTGTGTAACCTTTTTAGACTGTTGGGGCAAGTGCTGTTAGCGAGAACCTATGAAGGCCGGCACGGCAACACGAGGGGGTGGGTGGCCAGCACCACGCCCGGCCGCCTTCGTCTCCCCAGTGGCGATGATTTTTACACACCGTCACCGGGTAATCATTTGAGGCTGAGTCGACCTAGGGGAGGCCCAGAACCAGTTCAGATAATCGTCTCCGATGTTGGTTGTGAGCGGGAATCGAACTCGGCTCGCCGGGTACGCATCGCGCCAACCACCACACTACCGCCACCCACCTTAAAAAGACACGTTCACTACAAAGACAAAGACCCCCCGTATAGCCTTAACAGACTGTAGAGGCAAGTACTGTTAGCCAGCACATATGAAGGCGGGCACACTGACATTCTCAAAAGACAAAGACACACACACCGACACGACGAAGACACACAAAGACAAAGATCCCCCGTACAGCCTTAACAGACTGTTGGGGCAAGTGCTGTTAGCGAGCACCGACAAAGGCCGGCACGACACACGAGGGGTGGGTGGCCACACACACACTGACTGACACATACAGACACACACACACTGACACATACAGACACACACACACTGACACATACAGACACACACACACTGACACATACAGACACACACACACTGACACATACAGACACACACACACTGACACACACACACTGACACACACACACACTGACTGACACATACACACAGACACACACACACCGATAGACACACACACTGACACACACACACACTGACACACACACAGACACACACAAACACTGACACACACACAGACACACACACACACAGACACACACACACAGACACACAAACACTGACAAACACACACCGACAGACACACACACACCGACAGACACACACACACCGATACACAAACATACAGACACACACACTGACACACACACACACACACCGACACACAGACACTGACACATACAGACACACTGACACACACACACCGACACAAACACTGCGCCTGCTGCGAGCAACTGCTCGTCGCATCGTCGTCGTCACCACGAGCCGAGTTCGTCAAGACAAAGACTTGTCGACGCGTAATATAAGAACAATACATTGTTGTGTATATATATACCATGCGAGCTAAGGCTCGTGTATTAAGGAATGTGTGTAGGCCATTGGAGGAATGCAAGTACTGTATATGTGTATATGTGGTGAGTGCGTATGTATGCGTACACGTGTGTGTGTGTTTCGTATACGAGTGTAGCGGTGTATTTAATTACCCTTCACTCCGCATTGTAAAAACGGCCCTGCGTTATTTTAACGAAAAAGTTGGGGGAGTGGGGGAGGGTGTGTGGTGTGCGTCTTATAATCCGGTGCTCGGTGTACGCTGTGCGTGTGCGAGCGAGCTGTGTGATTGACAACATTTGTACAACTTTATTACAGACACACACGTGGCGACGCGTATTCCTCTCTGAAGCGTCTCATCGTCCGCTACTTGCGTGCGTGCGTGTGCACGCGCATGTATCATACGCGTGCATCGTTATTTCCACGTGTGTGTTTGTGTGTGTGTATATATCAGTTTGTTTTCAACACGGGTACGTACAGGACACATTTGTGATTGTAGCATGTTATATTGATTGCTGTTTTGGTTGCATTTAAATTTAGTAGGCGCTTATTGTGCGCCAGTCCGCCACTTTCCGTCGAGGCTCGCGGTTCGAAATCGCGGGCCGCCCTAGTTATCACTGCGGGTGTTTGGCATTGCCGATAATATAGTAATATAAAAAATTATAAATACGCACCGTCTTGCTTGATGGTGGCCGTTAAAAGAAGACAAAAAATGTTATCGGTTGGAACGGCACTCAGCGTGCACACAGTACGTTTAACTTTTTTCGCACCGTACGTAGCAAAAAAAACAAAAATCCCGTGCTAATCGGAGGTGCAGTGTGTTGAACTACAGCTGTGCTGCCCTGAATGACGGCAGCGATTCCAAATGTGCTGACTTACTATTGTTGTTGTGTGTGTGCGCGCGTCTGTGCTGTGTCTCTATGTATAACGTAAGCGTGCGCGCGCGCGTGTGTGTAGCGTGCGCGTTGTTTGGTATCGCCTCGTGCGTATGTGTCTGCGCGTACGTATTATACCGTGCTACGCTTGTACCCATCGGTATGCGTCAGTTCATGGGAATAAATAAGTGCCCTGACACTGGCAAGCAGTACCCACGATCACGCGGTGCGCATGAACGACACGGAGGGAGCCCTCTTTGCCAAATCCACTGCTGGATGAGGGCCTGGGCCCTGGGGGAGGAGCTATTTCACCAGGCTGGTCAGTGCGGGTTGGCTAAGCGAACTTTATACCCTGTACAAGTGATATCTCAACAGCAGCAGCATCATCATCATCATCACGTGCGCAAATATATCAGCCATCATCATCAACAACATCATCAACTTTACACACGTACAGCCGTCTAAGCTATAAACAAAATAATAATATCATCATCACCAACTCGACCATTGACATCACACGCACGACCATCTCAGCCATCATCATCATCACCACCATCAACATCACACGCACAACCATCTCAACCATCATCATCATCAAACAAACGATGACAACATCATTACCACCACCATCAACATCACACCCACCACCACCACCATCATCACCAACAACAGCAACAACAGCAGCAGCAGCAGCGATACTCCCCGCCAACACCGATCGAAAAATAGGATCGCGTGCGACCACTCGCGACCCACGACGGACCGACAACTGCAGCCGACCAAAATCCAGCGACTTTAAGTCATCGTCATGGTCGTCACGGAGGCAGCTTGCAAGTCGCCCGCCGTCGTCGCCTTCACCTTGGTGTTCGGTAGTCGATGGTCCTTCTTCCACTTCATGCGCCGGTTCTGGAACCAGATCTTGATCTGGCGCTCGCTCAGGCAGAGCGCGCCGGCCACCTCGACACGACGTCGCCTCGTCAGGTAGCGGTTGAAGTGGAACTCCTTCTCCAGCTCGAGCGCCTGGTAGCGCGTGTAGGCGGTGCGCGCACGCTTCAGCTCCCCGTTTCCACGGCAGCTCGGAGCCACTGCGAGAACGGTGGCCGTGGTGGTGGCGGTGGTGGGGATAGTGGTGATCGGGATAGTGGTAGTGGTGATGATGGTGGTCGAGGTGGTGGTGGTGGTGGTGATGATGATGATGGGGGCAGTGATCGTGGTGATGATCATGGGGGTTGTGGTAGTGGTGATAATGGTGGTGGTGATGATAGTGGTGTTGATAATGGTGGTGATAGTGGTGGTGATGATGGGAGTAATGGTAGTGGTGGTAATGGTGGTGGTAATGGTGGTGGTAATGGTGGTGGCAATGGTAGTGGTCGTGGTGATGATGATGGGGGTAGTGGTCGTGGTGATGATGATGGGGGTCGAGGTGATGGTGGTGGTGATGGGGTTAGTGGTAGTGGTGGTTATGATGGGGGATAGTGGTAGTGGTGATGATGGTGGTCGAGGTGGTGGTGGTGATGGGGCAGTGATCGTGGTGGTGGTGGTGATGATGGGGGTTGTGGTAGTGGTGATAACGGTAGTGGTAATGATAGTGGTAATGATAGTGGTAATGATAGTGGTAATGATAGTGGTGGTGGTGATGATGATGGGGGTAGTGGTGATGATGGGAGTAGTGGTAGTGGTGATGATGGTGATGGGGTTAGTGGTAGTTATGATGGGGGTAGTGGTCGTGGTGATGATGGTGGTCGAGGTGATGGTGGTGATGATGATGGGGTTAGTGGTCGTGGTGATGATGGGGGTAGTAGTCGTGGTGATAATGGTGGTGGTGATAATGGTGGTGGTGATAGTGGTGGTGATGATGGGGATAGTGGTCGTGGTGATGATGGTGGTAATGATGGGGGTAGTGGTGGTGATGACGGGGGTCGTGGTGATAATGATGGTGGTGACAGTAGTGATGTTGGTGGTGATGATAGGGTAGTGATGGTGGTGGTCGTGGTAGTGGTGATGATGGTGGTGATGATGGGGGTTGTGGTAGTTGTGATGACAATGGTGGTAGTGGTGATGATAATGGTGGTGATAGTGGTGATGTTGGTGATGTTGGGGGTAGTGGCGATGATGGTGATGGTTGTGGTGATGATGGTGGGGGTGATGATGATGATGATGATGACGATGGTGAAGATGATGATGGTGGTGGTGTTGGCCACAAGGTTAAGAGTTAGATATCATCACCGCAACGCTGGAAATGCCATGATGACGCTCGTGTCACGCGTACTCTCGATTAATCTCTCCTCGTGAACCTAGCCTGGCACAAGCACTGCGGTGACGCTATCGCCACTTCGCGGCGAATGGCAGCTTCGTGGTAGGTGGTGCTGGCGACGATGATGACGATGGCGGTGGGGATGACGATTTCCGTTGTCGAGCTTAATGATGTAACCACGATAATCGGGTCATCGCGACCCAGGTATCAACACCATGACGATGTTGATACTGCGGTAAAACGATTACCACGTGATAGCATCAGGGCAGGACCTCCACCGTCTGTGGAACGTAGCAGCAGCCGTGCCCCTTTGAGCCATGACCCGAATACCAAACGTCCCGAATTATCGTGATCATCATCATCAGAAGTGTGTCCGTGTGTGTGTCTGCGTGTATTATTCCGTGCTATGCATGCAACAGCACGATGATGGGCTTGACAATATTGCTGCGACATGCTGCTTCGTTCGAGGTCTAATTGCCAAGCTCTCGACGCAGGAGGAACGCTGCGCTCATTTACTCTGCCACCACATCCACACACCGCCCGACAAAGACCCCCCACCCCTCCCATAGCTCAATAGGTGCTCGCTAACAACACTTGCTCGGCACATAAACATACAAAGACAAAGATCCCCCTCCTCTTCGTATAGCTTGAACAGATTGTTGGGGCAAGTGCTGTTAACGAGTAGCACCTATGAAGGACGGCAGGGCACACGAGGGGGTGGGTGGCCAATACCACTCACGTACACACACATATACACACAAGTACACACACACACGCATATACACACACATACACACACACGTACACACACACATATACACACACGTACACACACCACGTACACATACACACACGTACACACACACACACGTACACACACACACACGTACACACACACACACACGTACACACACACACACACGTACACACACACACAGACGCGGACACAAACGCAGTCATTCAGATACAGGAGAAATCGAGACTCTTACACACGTTTACAAAATCAAATATTCAATCTCACGGGATAATCAAGGTGAAATGTTGCTAAATAAAAAAATGTGTAAACAAATATATGCACACACTTGACTTTCTATAAATTCACACACACGTATCCACTGTGCACACGTAGGTACACACATACACACACGTACGGTATCTATATATATACGTACACACGAGATAGGGCCCAACGGTCCCAAAACGCTAAGCGGACAGCAACTAACAGCACTATCACGCGGCACCATCATCACGTGGCACTATCAAAGCTTGGGGGCGGAAAAGAGAGAACGGATGACGCGAGGAAAGATGACAAAGTGGAGCGGACCTGCAGTGTGGTGGTGAGTGGGCGAGTTAGTGAGTGAGTTAGTGGGTTAGTGGGTGAGTTAGTGGGTGAGTCAGTGGGTGAGTTAGTGGGTGAGTTAGTGGGTGAGTTAGTGAGTGAGTTAGTGAGTGAGTCAGTGGGTGAGTCAGTGGGTGAGTCAGTGGGTGAGTTAGTGGGTGAGTTAGTGGGTGAGTTAATTGGTGAGTTAGTGGGTGAGTCAGTGGGTGAGTCAGTGGGTGAGTCAGTGGGTGAGTCAGTGGGTGAGTCAGTGGGTGAGTCAGTAGGTGAGTTAGTGGGTGAGTTAGTGGGTGAGTTAGTGGGTGAGTCAGTGGGTGAGTCAGTGGGTGAGTCAGTGGGTGAGTTAGTGGGTGAGTCAGTGGGTGAGTTAGTGGGTGAGTAGTGGGTGAGTTAGTGGGTGAGTCAGTGGGTGAGTCAGTGGGTGAGTCAGTGGGTGAGTCAGTGGGTGAGTCAGTGGGTGAGTCAGTGGGTGAGTTAGTGGGTGAGTTAGTGGGTGAGTTAGTGGGTGAGTGAGTGGGTGAGTAGTGGGTGAGTTAGTGGGTGAGTCAGTGGGTGAGTCAGTGGGTGAGTTAGTGGGTGAGTTAGTGGGTGAGTCAGTGGGTGAGTCAGTGGGTGAGTTAGTGGGTGAGTTAGTGGGTGAGTCAGTGGGTGAGTTAGTGGGTGAGTTAGTGGGTGAGTTAGTGGGTGAGTTAGTGGTTGAACAGTGCGGATGAAGAGGCCAATCCGTCAGACCACGTGACAGGCCGAGTGATCAACCTGGGTGGACCAGTCGAGTGGCGTTCACGGAGGACAGTAACCATGGTGGTCGCCATGGTTACTGCGGTGGTAGCCATGGTGGTCGCCATGGTTACTGCGGTGGTAGCCATGGTGGGAGCCATGGTTACTGTTTGAGGTGGGGGCTATAATCACGCCCGGCCATCTTTGTCTCACTCACACACGTAAGCACGTGCACACGCGCTGCCACACAATGGAGGAGGAGGTGGTGGAGGAGGTGGAGGAGGAGGTGGAGGAGGTGGAGGAGGAGGAGTAACAAGGGCAGTGGCTCTCCACACACAGACGTGATGATGTCTGTGATGATGATGATGATTGTGATGATGATTGTGATGATGATGTCTGTGATGATGATGTTTGTGATGATGATGATGTCTGTGATGATGATGATGTTTGTGATGATGATGATGATGTTTGTGATGATGATGATGTCTGTGATGATGATGTCTGTGATGATGAAGATTGTGATGATGATGGTGTTTGTGATGATGATGGTGTTTGTGATGATGATGGTGTTTGTGATGATGATGGTGTTTGTGATGATGATGGTGTTTGTGATGATGATGGTGGTGGTAGTGGTGATGGTGATGGTGGTGGTAGGGATGATGATGGTAGTGGTGATGATGATGATGATTGTAATGATGATGATGTCTGTGATGATGATGATGTTTGTGATGATGATGGTGTTTGTGATGATGATGGTGGTAGTGATGATGATGATGTTTGTGATGATGATGGTGGTAGTGATGATGATGATGTTTGTGATGATGATGATGTTTGTGATGATGATGGTGGTAGTGATGATGATGATGGTGGTAGTGATGATGATGATGTTAGTGATGATGATGATGGCGGTAGTGATGATGATGTTTGTGATGATGGTGGCAGTGATGATGATGAGGGTCCTGATGATTGTGATGGTGGTGGTAGTGATGGTGATGATTGTGATGATGGTGGTAGTGATGATGATGATTGTGATAATGATGGTGGTAGTGATGATGATGAGGATGATGTTGATTGTGATTATGGTGGTAGTGATGATGATGTTTGTGATAATGATGGTGGTAGTGATGATGATGATGATGGTGGTAGTGATGATGATGGTGGTAGTGATGATGATGATGATGGTTGTGATGGAAACTCCTCAGAGCCCCGAGGCCGCGAGGGGCGCGTCCATTCCCCCCCCTCCCGCATTCCTGTCTCAGTCCCCCGTCTCCCCCGTCCCCGATCTCCCGCCTCCCGCGTCTCCTCTCATTCCCTGTCTCCTGTCCCTGTGTCTCCAGTGTCTCCCATTTATCCTGCCTCCTGTCTACCCTGCCACCCCGTCTCTCCCCGTGTCTCCCGTGTCTCCCCGTGTCCCCTGGTGTCTCCCGTGTCTCCCCGTGTCCCCTGGTGTCTCCCCGTGTCCCCTGGTGTCTCCCGTGTCTCCCCGTGTCCCCTGGTGTCTCCCCGTGTCCCCTGGTGTCTCCCGTGTCTCCCCGTGTCCCCTGGTGTCTCCCCGTGTCCCCTGGTGTCTCCCGTGTCTCCCCGTGTCCCCTGGTGTCTCCCGTGTCTCCCCGTGTCCCCTGGTGTCTCCCGTGTCTCCCGTGTCTCCCGTATCTCCCCGTGTCCCCTGGTGTCTCCCGTGTCTCCCGAGTCCCGCGTCTCCCCGCGTCACCCCGCATCTCCCCGTGTCTCGTGTCTCCCCGTCTCTCCCCGTGTCTTCCCGTGTCTCCCTGTGT